GTTATTATTATAGATTCGAACCAGTCAGTTTGAATCAAATCAAATCAGTTCAAATCAAATTATATATTCGAATCAGTCCGAATTGTATCAAATTATATATTCGAATCCGTTCGAATCAAATTATATATTCGAATCTGTTCGAATCAAATCAAATCAATCCGAATCAAATTATATTAATATATTCGAACCTGTTTGATTCGATTTCGATTTGAATGAAACGAATCAAAAATTAAGTGATTTGTTCGGAGCCTTAATTAGCAATCTTTTTTCAATTTCTTTAGAACATATAAAAAAAACACTCTATAGCTTAAAAGCTTGATATATTTTCTATAATTTCCCTTGGTTTCATGTTTGTATCTCTTTAGTTGAAAGCTCTGATACAATTTTTATTTATATAGTTTTTATATATATTCTTTTTTTATTTTTTTAAAAAAAGTTATTGATCGACATTATGTTACATCAATTAATTAGGACATCTCACACAACTCTAGTTTTGTCGTATTTGGTCATGTAGTTCAAAATATTGTAACACATAAATTAATCCAATATATGATATTTCCTCCTTTTGGTGCTAAAATATGAATCATTTCTATGCAAGTACATTTATTTATTTTGCTATAATTATTTCAAATGGTTTTTCCAATGGCAATAATTCGGAATGCTTTATCATCAAATAATACTAATGATGATAAAAGATCAATAACTGATAATGGCTGCGAGGAAGTAATTGATTATTATGATAATGAACCAGTAACTCCACGAGAATTGAAGGCTTGGTATTTACAAAACATGGCGGTAAATTCTCTTTCCTTCTTTACTTCTACCTTGTTTAATTCTCCATAAGAATATTCACATTTTATCTATATACTCTTTAATTCATCATAGATTGAACCATATGGAGTAGCAGCAATATCAATATTGACACCTCTCATATTAGAAAGTTATGCTAGCCAAACAGGGTTTAAAGCTAGTGATATAAATATCCCATGTGATGTTGTAAGTATTTATAGTAATAGTAAAATAATTTGTGTGATGTAGTATTCTAATTTTATTTTTCCACATAATAGACTGAACCAAATTATAATTGCATTACAAAATTTGGTAGTGGTTATGTGAATACTGAAAGTTACTCATTCTATGTTCTAGCAATTTCTGTTGTATTACAAGCTTTTGTATTTATTAGTTGTGGAGCTTTGGCTGACTATGGAAGTAAGTATAAAAGTTTGTGCACAAGCTTGAGTTTATAACTGTGAGTATTAAACTAATAATTTGAACTTTTTCTGATTTTTATTCAGAATACAAAAAAATTTTTTTATTGTTTTTCTCTTATTTGGGTGGATTTAGTCTAGTTGGTTTTATACTTGTCTATGAACCAGGTATGATTTATTAATTAATATGTTATTTATTAAATATGATTATTTATTAAATATAAAATAATATTTTTAATTAATTTTAGAATTAAATTGGTTAGCTGCTACTTTCACCATAATTGTGTAAGTTCCAATTAACAAATTCACATTTATTCCAAAAGAATCACATCATTAATTTTAAATCTCAAATTAAATAGAAATTTATGTTTTGGAGCAGTAAATGTATTCTTGCTAGCCTATATTCCAGTCTACTCTCGACTTCTACCTAATGTCATAGAAGCAAAGAATGATCCTAGCAAAGGCTATCATGAAGTTGAAACTTTGATAGAATACAATGGAAACAAATTATCAACTAATGCTATAGGTACAGGTGTAGCTACTGGTATAATTCTGTTGGCAATATGTGCTGCTATTGCTAGCTTAATGGATGCTTCTATACTTAGTCTTAAAATTGGATGTCTAATAATTGGTGCTTGGTGTTTATTCTTATCAACTTTTCCTTTATTATGGTTAAAAAATAGGAGCGGCCCTCCTTTACCAAGGTTTGCTTGCAAATTATTAAGAAAATTTTTTGAGAAGCATGAAAATGCAAATTTCAAAGCTCTTTCAATATTTCTAATATATATTCATATATATTTATTTAGCAATGAAAATATATTTTTATATTCAATTAAACGTGTTTTCATGACATTATCAAAAACACATCAACTTTGGCAAACTATGAAACTTTTATTAGCCTGGTTCATAATGAGTGATGGTTTGAATACAATTTCATCAGTTGCAGTTATCTTTGGTAAAAAAGTATTTAATTTGTCATTTGCTGAATTGTTGGCTGCTGCATTATTAGTGCCACTTATGGCAATCATTGGTGCATATCTATTCTTATTCATGCAACAAAAACTAAGTCTATCAACAAAAACCATGGTTCTAATTGTTTGTGGACTTGAAGCCTTATTACCAATTTATGGATTGTTTGGTTTCTTTGCTCCTTTTGGTTTAAAAGAAAAATGGGAGATTTGGTTATCTGTTGTTTTTTTTGGTTTGATGCTTGGTGCTGCTCAGAGTTTTAATAGAGTTTTATTTGCAAGTTTGATACCTAAAGGTCATGAAAATGAATTTTTCTCTTTGTATGAAATTACTGATAAGGTAAACATTATTTTAATATTATTATTTTTATGTAGAATAACCAATTAAAAATGTTTTTAATTTAATTTAGGGCTCTTCATGGATTGGTACACTTTTAACTGGAGTTATTAATGATCTAACTGGTAATTTACGTTATACTTATTTTGTTTTGACAATTATGTTGGTGTTACCTTTATTTCTTATAGCTACTGTTGATGTTGAAAAAGGAAAAATTGATGCTGAAAATTTTTCAAAAAGAGAATATAGTAAAGAAATTAAAATTGATAACAAAGATGACAATGATAATACATTGGACATTGATATTAAGAATAATAATTTAAATTATTTGTAAATAAAAATTTTAAAGACAATGATAAAAATATCTGTACTCCATATTATTTTTGAATTGGGATAAAAAAATCATATCCCTTTTTCTTTCATTCAATCTTTTATTTTGAAATATCCTGCAGATCAATGGGGAAGTTTTGAAATCTTCAAAAAATGTCGAACCAAAAAATTTCTCAATATATGGGGAGTTCAAATAGTTTTGTCACAGGACCTGTAACTTTATAACCTTGAATTAAATTAATTGGAATTCTTTTTTAAATAAAAGGCCTATTTCTCCTCTTTCAAATAAAAATTTTGTTTTTTATAATTCATTGATTACTGAGATAATAATCAAAGATTGTCAATAAAATCAACTGAAAATTTTTGTTAATAAGTCATATAACTTTATGATTTAAATGTAATAGGTTTGAAAATATTGTTATAAAGATTAGGCATTCTTATCTTTCAAAAAAAAAGTTTGAATTTTTTGGTCTGTTAATTACTAAGATATTAAATTTTATAAAAAATATTTTTTGTGCACTGTGAATGGATACTATATGTCTAAATTTTTTTATTTACATATTAACTCATTCCCTCAAAATATTTCCCTTGACTTTTATACAATGTCTCAGTCTCATATGCCAATTTTGAAAGCAATTAAAATGTTCTTCTTGTGGTATGTATCTGTTATTGATTTTACAGCATGTGCAAGGTCTTGAATCTTCTCAAACCTCTTCCCACCAAGTTCTTTCTTAATTTTAGAGAACAAAAACGAACCACAGGGGGGTGGGGAAGCATTACAACTCGTTATTTTTGCAGATATTTAGTGACAACCTTTGCCTTGTATGGTGTTGTTGTTGTAGAGAATTTCTTTCTTTTGAGATTGAAAAGACATTAAAATTTTATTCCAAATTAATTTTTTACCGATTAAAGTATCAGCAAAACTTCTTAAAGAAGCATCTATCGTATCTATTAAATCTACTATTCTATTTGTGGTTTCTATGTCAATGTTATGATCATTACATAGTATTTTTATTGCTGAGTTCCTTGCATTCACGATCTTTCTCAAGTTATTAAAAAAGTTATTATTAAAACTCAAGTTCGTTAAAATGAAATAATCAATCGCCAATTTGGAGAGAGCAAATTTACTTACAGTATTATTTGCACTAAAAGAATAAAAAAATTAAATAAAAAATTAGAATGACGATGATGCGTTTCAACGATCACGACCACCACCATTATTCTTTTTAAATAACTAGAGTGACGATGAGTGGTGATGACCACCATCATTCTTACGATAAACACTTATCCTAACGCACCAGAACCATCTTGTCTTCTTCTTTGTTGTTGAAGCTGACGTGAAATTTTATTAAAAATATTTAATATTAAGAATTATTTATGATTTTCTTTTGTTGACGCGATTGGTTTTTTTTTTTTTGGAAAAACAATCTATTTTTCACAAGATAACAAAACGCGAGTCTCCTAAAGAAGACGTGTTAATGACAGAGATACTATTTTTTATTTGTATTGATATAATATGGTGTCTTTTGGCTATTATAAATATTTTAAAATCTTGCTGGGTAATTATAAGATCCTTATCAAGATGATAACAAATGAACGATTGGTATTTTTCCTTACATAATCGTTAATAATAATATCAATATTAATATTAATATAAATACAAGATGTCAAGACAGCACACCACTGAAAAAGAAACAATTCAAACATTCTGATATGTGATGATCGGAAATTTTACAATTGTCAAGACATGCACGCTATATACCTTGAACACATTACAGTCGTTCACACATCTTCCTCATATACATAATGCTAATCTGACCAAGATTTCTATGATGATACAATGATGCAACTGAATTCCAGGGAGGTGCATGGAATGCATCAAAGCTGCACCAATCGTCAAGGATGTTTTCACTGATCTTCACAGACCAGAGAAGGCTGCCATATTAGACAAAAAGTCGCCTGCAACAATCCCACTTCTAGGGTAAGGATGGCTCTGTGACCAAGTTGCAACTCTGCAGCAAAGTTGTGATATTAGGTGCACATAAACATCAAAGCAACGAGAATCTGCAACTTGTTTCAACTACAGGAGGTTACAATTCAGGGCGGGTTGGTGACCCTGAAATTGCATTTGGGCTTTGATGTTAAGAGGAAAGTTGTAAAATAGTGTTTGTTTTGTATAATTTTTTCCTAAATTCTCTGTTTCTTTAATACTAACCAATTTATAATTGTGGGTAGGGGTTTTTGCCCTGTCCTGTAGATTAAAATTATCATAGAACCTGAATTGGCAGATCATCGATGCCACTTCCAAATTAGGAAGGTCTTGTATATAGGAATTTTCCTTAATAAAAATGTGTAATTGGAAAATGGCCTATTTCCCAAATTTTTTATTGGACATTCTAAATTTTATCAGAATGCCCGGAATTTTATAATACCCTCCTATGATAAAAATGAAAATGAAAATGAAAGTGAAATTGAAAATGAAAATGATAATGAAGATAATGAATCAATTAATGAAAATGATAATGAATCAAGTAACGAATCAATCAATGAAAGTGATGATGAATCAAGTAACGAATCAATTAATGAAAGTGATGATGAATCAAATAGTGATAGTGAGTGAAATAAGTTGGGATACAGATTTAGATTCTAATTGTAGTTATTTTGTGAAAGTCCTTCAAAATGAAATAAATAATTATAAGCCTTCTGCACGTCGTTCTGTCTACTTGGGAAATGCACCACAGGCTAGGCGATTTCATGCTGCACGAGCTAAAAAAACATCTGAAGATAACAGACAAATGATTTACAAAAAATTGTTCCCGAGGCAAATAAATCTTTTAAATATATGGAATATTATAGACAAGGATTAGATGCAAAACAGGCTGAATATGCCTTTAAAAAAATACAAACGTCATCGTATTATTCCAAATAATATTTTAAATAATTTAGATTAGTATATATTAATAAAGTTAATTTTCAGTATAACACAATTTGGAATTTTGCCGCTGATCGACAAAGTGGTCGGTTTTAAGATGACTCGAGCTGTATAATTATTTATTATCGTTTGAATTCGTGTTACGTTCTGCGTATTTAATTATTATTAATCAATCCGTAGCACATTCACATTTATTTAACTTTATTTAGTAGAGATTAATGACGATTCTCCCGAACCGGGCTAAGAACTCAATTTCGACCTGATGTGAAAGTAACTTTGTTACAAGTTAATTAGTTTCGACTAAATAAAACTAAATAAATAAAATATAAATATTTTATTTAAAACTATTATCTTCTTTAAACAAAATTATTTGCTAATCCAAAATCAATTCGTTGATCCCCTATTCATTCTGATCCACACAAAAAAACAATTGTTATCACCAATTAAAAATACGCTCTCCCAAAATTTAATCGGTGACAGATGTAATGTGTAAAAATTTAGAAAATTTAAGAAATACATGTGGTCACATAACAGATTTGTTTGTTGAATCAAAAAAATCTTATGACAACATGAAAATTAGAAGATTAACAATTACTGTATATAAAAGTTTCTTTTTCTTTTTTTTATCTAGGATGATATTTTTTTCAATTGTACTAAGAATGCGGTATGATTTGTTGGTGTATGAGAAGGTCGACAAATATAAGCTAATGCTTTTTCTGGGATCATATTATTATTATTTATTAAATGTTTCACTGAGAAAAAGGTAGGCAATGATGAATCCAAAGAATCAGATGAAGAACTATCATTATTACTATCATCATCATTATTATTCATTTTACTTCTAATTACAGTTGCTTTGACTTCCCATGGTCGCCATTGCACCTCCAAAACTTGTTCAACTGCCAAACCAATCCTTTCATTGTTACTTCTAATTTTAATTGATTTGACCAAATTTAAAACTTGGGTCATATTAGGAAGATAACATATAATGAAACAATCTATCTTTAATTGTTTTACAATAGTTGGTAGATCATTCCATGGTTCTGGCATGTCTAATACTACACCATCATATATTTCCAATGGAGATAAAGGTGATGCTGAAGAGGAAAAAGATAGTGGTGGTATTGGCAATGCTTCTGATGATGCCTCTTTTTTACTACCATCATCAGCAATTTTTAAGATTTCTGAACATGACCCAGTACTAAAATTAATGATATCATAATACAATCCACGTGAAAAATTCCTAATGTTTTTTTGAGCTTTTTTTGTATAGTCCAGATTAATGTCTATGGTGTGAATAGTTCCAGTTGGATATAGAGCTCGTGCTAGATATAATGTCAAAAACCCATTACCAGTTCCACTTTCTAAAATTTTTGAATATGGATGTAAATCAAGCAAACCTATCTATATGCAATAAATATGTGGTGTATGTATATTTATTACCATTATTTGATTATAGATGATTGATTATTGATAGATCAAATTAAATTTTATAACATTACAATTGTGTTGGCATCCTTTGGATAAATTGGAGTTGTATGTCTTCGATACATTAGAATATACCTTTTGTGTGAGAGAGAGAGATTGTGTGTGTGAAAACAAGATATATAGAAAAAATAATATAATTATTATTAAACAAATATAAGGAAATCAAAATCATACTCATCCAAAGTTGGAAAATGAATTGTAAATAATTTATCTAAATACAAAAAATGAATGAACAAAACAATAAATAAAAATTCCGATATGATTTTTTTTAAAAAAAAAACACCAACATTTCAATAAATGATAAATTCAATACTTGTGTGAGTTAATACACGAGATCTTGGTGGATTTCCAATAATAGAATCATGATAAATAATTCCTTTATGTGTATCATGTTTTCCATTTTCATTCAAAGGACCAATTAAAATTGTTCTTGGTGTGTGATTATTTTTTGACAAGGATAATGAAGACTGATCACGTAATATTACCATATCTCCTTCTATAAATTTAGATCTATCTACTTTGGTTTTAGAGGAGGGAGAGGAAAAGGGCCGGAGAGCATTAATTGTTGTAGAATATTTCAAAATAAAAGATTGAATAAAAGAAAAAGAGATGGGATTATTTGATTTCTTTAATAAAATTGGTTTATTTTTCAAGTATTTTGAAAGAAGCATTTTTTCCCAATTCAAAAATTCGTCATTACCCTAAAAAAATTAGTGCAGAACCTCATAATAATTGTATTACTGTGGCACACACTGTACTACCGTAAATATGATTGGCTCCGTAATTATTGATTACAAAGCATTTGTCCAAAATAGAAGTGGTTCAGTTAATGGCTTATAATAATAAAGGTGAAAAATTATGGCTTAACCATTCAGAAAGCCAAAGTTTATTTCTATGCAACAGTTTAACTGGGTTATGGGTTATTATTAGCTTGGCAAGAACATAATCCAATCAACTTGATCAAATTGGTTTACATTAAAAAAAAACAGTATGGATTTTATAACTTTAATGTTACACCTTTAAAATTAATTCTTGTTTTCAAATGGATTTTTGATTTTAAATTAATATCAAGTAGTGATTGTATCCATTGATTATCCAGGTGTTTGAGTACTTGGTCAATCAATAAAGCTCAATACCCAGATAATCTGCCAGTAAATAAAACTCAACATCTGGATAATTGGTCATTCACCGAATATCTGCTGAATATTCATTGATTTATAATAATTATTTATTTGCCAGGAGAAATATTTTCAATACATTGAATTTTTTTTTTTTTTTAAGAAATACAAATAATAATGGATTCAATTTTATTCATTCGGCTGTCATTGTGTTTCCAGTAGAGCTCCGAATGAGTCAAGTTGGGTCAACAGGTCACAGATTAAGAAAATTACAAATGTAGATATATTAATTGATTTAAATATATACAGTACACACAATATGTTCACTATTACTGCCACTTTTAAGAAATCTGTCCAACATCATTGCTTGTTTATTTACATTAACATCAATTTTATTTTTATGATTCTTAAGATGACAACTTAAATTTGAAGTAGAGCCACTATTCATGTTATATTTCCCATGTCTTTATTTAATATAATTAATACAATTAGTAATTTTTTAAAAAAAAAAAATAAGTAATGCAATTTATTTTAATATACTTACAAGCAATATTTACATTTAGCCCATTTTATGCCTTTTTTATCCATTTATTGCAGCTCCTAGGACTGGCAGACCTAAAAAATTATCAACTTGTGATGAAAGACAGCAGTAAGAAAAGTCCCAAAACAACTGCCTATCAATTATCCAAACAACTTGAAGAATTAAACATTATAGCAAGTGAAAAGGCTGTCAGGCAAACTTTACACACTAAAAATACTTATGGTAGGAAGGCTGTAAGGAAGCCATTAATTTCTGAAAAAAATAGGAAAAAAAGATATTTTGGTGTCATGCAAGAAAAAATTGGAATAAAATTATATTCAGTGATGAGAATAGGTTCTTACTATTTCAAACCAATTCAATGATTGGGTTTGGAGAATGGTAGGAGAAAAATTTAAAAAAAACAATCTGATGAAATTATGGTTTGGGGTTGATTTACAAGAAGAAAAATGGGTCCATTAGTATTAGTTGAAGGTAAATTAAATGCAAGTAATTATAATAACCTTCTTGCAGCAAATTTATTACCTTTTATTAACAAATTAAGTGCAGAAGATCAGTGTAATCATGGTGATGGTGTATTTATCTTTCAAGAAGATAATGCACCATGACATAAAGCAGCTGCTGCAAACATATGGAAAGAAGATAATAACATTGTGGTTCTCCCCTGGTTTGCACAAAGCCCAGACCTCAATCCTATTGAAAATTTTTGGCAGGATTTAAAAAGAAGACTTGGATTAAAAAATTATAAATCAAAAATAAGATTGAATTGTTTAATTTATTGAAAGAGGAGTGGTTTAATACTAGTCCAGAAAAAATTAATAAATTAATAGATAGTATGCCACAAAGGGTTGATGCTGTTTTAAAAAGTAGAGGAAACCCAACAAGATATTGATTTTTTTTAATAAAATACAATTAATTTAAAGTAGTTTCATATATTTTTTGATGTCTTTTATGTTTCAAATTAGTGGGCAGTTTGAGGTTGAATTGTTTTGTAAATTTTTTTACTTTTTATTTTTACACTTTTTAATTAATCAACCAAATGCTCTAAAATTTTATAGGTAACTAGATTTAAACATGAGAAACATTTTTCACTTATACCACAAAGGTTGTTAGAACTTGCTAATGTGGTCAATTTTTGAGTTAAAGATTTTTAAAAAAATTCCAGAATTTTATTGTTTATCTTTTAAGGTTTGTAAAACAACAATGGCTTATTTATATGTGGTGAAACTTCAGTATATTATAGTAGGACCGGGAAAACTCTATAGTATGTGACCACCAAATTAAATGGCAAATCATATTAATGCAAATCTTAGTTTTTTATAATTATATGCAAATCAATTTTCCAAACACATTTAAAAAATTATTAATAATGCGAATCAAAATCAGCCAAGGACATATGAAATTTATCTTTATTAATTAAAA